CGACCACGAATTGCACGAACCGCGATCGCAAACCGGACGTACGAACCGCAACCGAACCGCAGTGTTAACTTACTTCTAGTCAGTACTGTATTTGTAGGGTCTGCGAAACGCTATTTCATGCATTTTAGACATGTTTTATGATAATCTGAAAGCCACAGATTTGGTTTATTTCGATGAAAGCATTACGAGGTTATGCCCCACTCCCTCCCCAATTTCTCCTGAGTCCTGAGAGACTTATAATTAGCAGTTAATTAAAGCTGGGGTGACTTGAAGGAGTTAAATTTTGTACAATCTGATTTACAATGTGGAAAAAGTATACATTTTCTTAATTAATTTGTATCCTCGAAATAGTAATAGGTCAGGATATTGCTTGTAGCAAGAGCAATATCAAGTTGAACCACAGACTGTTGTTGTATACGATAAATTACCAAATTTCGTAAGGAATAAATACTAAATTTTGTACCAAAGTATAGTGTAGACCACGAGACCATGCGACTATTAAATCTTAATATGAACGATCTGTGTAGGTAGTGCCAATAATAGCGGGAAACGTCGGATTAATAGGGATGCAACTATAAACTGAAAAATACAAGGAAAACTTCGACATTTCGAGCGAAGGCCCTTCGTCAGACGTTAGTATAGAAACAAGAAGAACTGTGAAAGGTCGAAGTTCTGCTTGTATTTTTCAGGTAGTTGCATCCCTATCAATCCGAATTTTCCTTTCTCCATAAATTTTAATATGTTCGATGTTAACTAATTATATTTCAGTTACTTACCTTCGCCGTGTATTTAAAACATTGTTGTTTAGCAACATTATCTCTTACAGCCCCCCAATTATGGAAATTAGCCCTCCCCCCAAATAAAAACTGTTACGCCGCCACTGTACAGTAACTTATCTTAATACTTGTAAGGAATGACGCAATTCATTCGACATCTGCGCCTTTGGTAGCAAGACAAAATATAACCCAACAGTAACATTTTATACACTAAATTGTTCATCTACTACAAAGCAAGCCACTGATAGGTCTCTTTTAAATCCCTCATCTTTTTTAAATACAACGGCCTGCTTAAATTATGCAATATTCCTTGAGAACCCTGAGTCGGTATGTAACCTAAGTACTTTAAGACTCGTGCACATCGTGTCTCAATGATTTGAAGATATTGGCGGTCGATTTTTGCTCGCCAACCATTTATGGACACATTTGCCTGGCGCATTAATGAAAGGGGCGATATTTTAACCGGCCCGTGGACGTGAGTTTTGTTATGAATCCATTGTAATACATCTGTCGACGTTGAAATACGAAGTTCGTTGAACAAATCGCGAACAATTGCTTCCGGGTTTGCCGCCAGTTCTTCGTAACGAATTAACTTGATATTTTGTGGTTCCAGTAACACGGCGCCAAGGTTCAGTTCCATTGTGTCGCACACTTTCCTTACTTTATCATCAACTTCTCCATTTTGTAGACCTTGTTTGAAACGTTCGTTCGGAACAACCCAGCCCATCCTACTACGTGAATGAAGCATCGCTCTTGGATCGCGCACTAAGTACAACACGTAATTGACTGAAGACGAACCGTTGTTGTCCACCAGCCATGTTAGATCAGCGGGTTCTATGCGCTCTAGGAGAATTTTTGTGGCAATATGTCTATGTTTACCACACAATTCGTTCAATACACTGGCCAAAATCGTTCCATTGCCGCATAATTTCCAATTTGCTCTTGATAGAAAATCACTTGCCCTCCTGTACTGTGTTTTACAAAATGGCGGCGAAACAAGTGGTCTACTCGATGCTCGGTGAATGCTGTAACGTGAGAGTTCTTGAAGAAATGCATCATCTGTAAAATTACAGTTTAGGATGGAATTAACTACATGTTCGGCTTTGTACAGATAATCCTTCGATAATCGATCAACGAGCCTTTGTACTATGTTTAATGGTTCGAAAATGAAGAAGAAATCTGGATGCGAGTTAAAAATAGCCGCAAGAAAGGACGATCCCGACCTTCCATGCGCGACAATAATCACTCGCGTTCTCTGTGAGTTTGTTGTCGGTTTAGTGGTTGGTGATATATTATACCTCAGTGTTGACCAAGAGTTCAATTTCACAATTGAGGTTTGGATGTAAAAGAATAAGAGAATTTCCATGGTTAACAAGAATAAGAGGAATGTTATTCGAGTCTTCCTTCGCATTAAATAAACCTAAAAAAACAAGAACATTTCTTCAAAATTATAAACTACTTCAACTTTTATTAATATTAAATACAAATATACACACTATTACCACAATTTATTATTGATATACTGATGCAAATACAGTTTAACTAGCCACAATCCTCCCACATTTATACAGTTAAATCATGAAAAAAAAGAACCAAAACAAAATAACTGACAAAAATATTTAAACAAGGATCAAGCTCCACAGCAGAACTGAATGCCATGGGCGAATTACCAAAGCCACCTGTGTACGTGTCTTCTAGAATTCTATTGATATTATATAACGAAAAGTAAAAGCCAAAATGAAAGGCCCATGCTACAAGAAGAGTAACAAGATTTATTTAATTTTGGATACTGTTTGCATAATCAGGGCAAGATCAGCATAGTCATCACAAGAACCTAGAGCATCGGAAAGTAGACTTTTGCATCGTTTGGAAAAACTAGATTTACATAACTCTCGAATTAAGGATGGTAAACTGTTCCAAATGTTTACACCAATTCTGGAAAATGACTTAGCTAGGTTATTTAATCTCGAGAATGGTTGGTAAAGGTCATGGCGAGCCGCAGATCTAGTGTTGTACTTGTGTGTATCCGCAATTTATCCGCAATGCTATAGTAAATAATGTTGTGCATGATCATTAACAGGAGATTTATTATTCATAACGTCGTGCATAATACAAGCCACATTATAAAAATAGAGCAAATTTATTGGAAGAATTCCAGATTCAATAAATAAGGGTATAGTGTGATCTCTATAGCCACCGAAGTGCATCAAGCTTACAATTATTCTTCCTTGGAGAACAAATAGACGGTTGAGATCAGTCTTACAAGCCCAAACAAAGATTCCGTAACTTAAATATGGATGCATTAAGCCATAGTAAATCTTTTCTAGAATATACTTTGGAATAAAGTGTCGAATTCTGGAAAAAATCCCAATAATCCGACTAGACTTAAGGTGGCTCAATACAGTTTTCAAAAATTCAGGTGTTCAACACTTTGACATGTTCAAACTACGCATTTTTAGGATTTATTCAACAGATATTGGGGATTTTATATATTTTGATAACTCTACTTTCAAATTATATTAGTTTTAGTAACAGATAGTTCGTTGCTATGACGACATACGTGTACGAAATTCACTCCAAAATGGCCTTTCGTCTCGTATAGTTGGAAAAGAAGCATGGTGACCCCCAATTTTTTTTTCGTGCATTATTTTACTTGGACGAAAAGCTAACAATTAGCAAAATATAAAAAAATTCTGTAGTGTCATTTTTTTGGAAAATGCGAAAATGTCATATTCTTCATATTAGCGGTGCAATACAGCATGCAAAATTTGAACATAGGTCACCAGACAAAATAAAGAGATATAGCGCATTGTTTTTCTAAAATGGAAAATTCTAATTACGTAAGCAATTGATATAAAACGCTATAGAACACGCGCAATGGCGTGAGATGGTGCGAGCAACTGCTCACGTCAGGTCATTTTGGAAGTTCTTTCATTTCGTTAATCAGTTTCCGCGACCTGCGCGTAAAAATGGTCACCCGGTTTTGAGTTTGGTTTTTGTGATAACTATATCGAGCCACCTTAAGAGATATATAATCGATATGAGGTTTCCATGACAAACTAGAATCAATCATCAGACCAAGATATTTCACATAGTTTTTCATTTCTAAGGGCAACATTCTCTTAGTGCTATGATCAACCATCTTGAGCTGAGGAAAATAGTCTATTCTTTTTTGGTGGGGATGAAAGATGACAAAATTTGATTTGCTAATATTAAGTGTTGATTTGTTTGCTTTCCGAGCCAACGGCTAACATTTTTTAATTCCGAATTTACAATTCGTTCCAATTTATGTATATTTTTGTCAGAATATAGAATACTAGTATCGTCTGCGAACAAATAGAAATTAAAAGTCGACGATGAAGAGATATTATTGACATATAAGAGGAATAATAGAGGACCTAAAACAGATCCTTGAGGAACTCCAAGTAGACAATTTTCATTATTGGAAATATAATCTCCAATTTCCGTTGTCTGAAATCGATCGCTTAAGTAGGAAGCAAACCAATCATGCACAATTCCTCTTATACCATAGTGATATAGAGCTTCTTTAGCAGAATGATTAACCGTGTCAAACGCTGTTTTAAAATCGATAAAAACACCAGGCCACATGTAAGTTCTTTCTTGCTATATAACTATAAAACTATAAAAACTTGACGTCTAACTATAAAACTATAAAACTATAAAACTATTAAACCTGACGTCTGAGTACTCCACTTGGCAGATGATTAATTCAGACGGATCAGGCTGTCTCAACACTCCCTGTTAGAGAGAATAGGGAGCTTTAACAGCTACTACGAGTACGACTACGAGTACGAGATTTGATCGCGTGCGTGGAAATCACCGTAGTCGTTCTCGTTTCCGTTCAAATGTTGCTTTTATAGTAGTAGACAAACAACGAAAGAAAAAGTTTATATAAACTTGGTCTCCTGCAGGCCAAAATCCCCGACAAAATGTGCAAATAAGTCATAACATTAAACACAAGCCAGATATTTAATACTAATAAATTATTTGCGCCGGATAAACGCAACAAATTATTTTTGAAAAACAAAAAAAAGCCAACTTTCTTTTGAAAAATCGTGGTGAGGACTACGAGATTTCTCCACAATTTCGTACTCAGATGGGCGACGGCTACGACTTTTTCGCGTCAGTACAGGATGGCGTAAGCATACAGCATGCGTTTCGCTGTGGTTTCGCTTGACGAATCTCGTCCTCGTACTCGTAGTCGTACTCGTAGTCGCTGCTAAAGCTCGCTAATTTCACTACGGTTACGACTAGTCTACGAGGTTCGCGGTTTATTTGAATGCGTCATCTTCGTACGCCATTTAAAATGTAAACTCAATTTCATCAGTAAACTCAATTTTACCATGGTAAAGTAAAACAAATTGAGTTAACTGATTTGGCCATGGCTACAATTAGATTTATAAGGTGTCGGCCTTGCATAATGTGGCAAAAATGGCGTCAAGAACTAAAATTCTTGACGCCATTATGCATATACTGACACCTTCTAAATCTAATTGTACTGGGTCATGGCCAAATCAGTAAACTCAATTTATTTCACTTTAAAATGGTAAAATTGTGTTTACCATGGGCCCGCAAATTGAGAACGGGATTTTCGAAGTCTCGTACTACGAGATTATGGCTGCTTGCGTAATGGCGTAGAAAGATGGCAATCATGTGAATAAACCACAAAACCAGAGTTTATCATGACAACGTAATTTAACCGTTAATCATGGCGTCAGCAGTTCGTACGTTCGTGATACCTACAGTATCTGCATATTTAGCCTAGACTATTTATCTAGACTGTGATTTCAGCTAAAATTAATTACAGTTAATTGTCTCCAACTGGATGCGTATAAATTGTTATTTTTAGTCGATCTCTTGCATTGCAAAGCCACTACAAACCGTGTTATTAGCGACGATTTTAGGATCCGAGACCTGAACTAACACTGCATGCGTAAGGTGACTTGCCTCTTTCTCTGTAGGCAGCTTAGTTCCAGTCGTTCTGAAATAAGCGTGAGAAAAAACGTGGATGTAGTAGGAGACTGGGACCTAGGTGTGACGTCACCGCTAAAGGTGCTTCAGAACGCCTAGCAGATTTCAGTATTTTTAATATGGCGGAAAATTTATATATACAAATAACCTTGTAAATATGACAATATGTTCGTTGATCATGTTCGATGTCTACATAACCAGATTCAAACTGTATTAAAATGTGCTCAATTAAAAAAAAAAAATTATATACAAATTTACGATACTGAGTCTGAGCAATGGCAGAATCAGTGGACGGTTCCGGCAATTCTAAAATTGAGAAAATTCTGAAAGTTGAAAGTTAAATTTGCAGCAAATCTATCTTTCGACTCATATATTTCTTATCGATAACACAAAATTCCATATCCTTTTCGATGTCATAAATTATTTTTGAAAAATGTCTAAAAGCCCTACCTTATTTCTCATAAAGGGTACCCTTTTTTGAGATTTGTGTGATAAGTGAATTGGTTCGTTTTAATTACCCTTTTACGTCGATCCAAGTTTCAACTAAAAGCGAAAAAAACGGATTATCTAACGAATTTATACAAATCAAATATCCATAAAAATAACTGAAAAGGGTACGATTATCGCTCAACTGCATCATTTTGTAAAATGACGAAAAAGGGTACCCTTTTCGGTCAACCATGTTATTTTGTAGTAAGACGAAACAGAGTACCCTTTTCGGTCAACTATGTTCTTTACATAGTAATATGAAAAAGGGTATCCTTTTCTGTAAAATATGATCTTTTATAATAAGACGAAAAAGGGTACCCTTTTTTATTTAATTAATCTGTTGATACTCGATCGGATTAAAAATGGTCTGGAATTTTATCAACTGCGTTAACGCACGTTAAAGCATAGCGTTTAATTTAAGTGTATACCAATTCAAGAAACAGTATAATTTATTTGCTTAATTATTGTCAAATCAAAATGGCGGAGTACTTGGAGCAAAATATCGAAGATGTGAAAAACTATGTTCAAAAGAATTATACTTTTCGGCAGATTAGCGACATTTTCAAGCAGCATTTTCCTGAATCCTGGGGTTAGTCGTGGTTTCTCGGAGAGAAACATTCGGTTATTCATGCAGTTCAAAGCGTGGAATAAGGAAACTGAACAATTTTGAAGTGGACACCATACATTATTCAACAGTCTATCAATGAGCTATTGTGTGCTGTAACTGATTATTTTAAATAGATATGTATATACGTATATTGCGTTGGGTAATATTGTGATGACAAAAGAGTTTAATATTCATAATTAATTAAAAAAGTATAGCGAGCTAACGCAACTGGAAAGACTTATAATAATTATATTATATATTATAAGTCTTTCCAGTTGCGCTAGCTCGCTATACTATAATTATGAATATTAAACTCTTTTGCCTTCACAATATT